TGCTTCAGGTTACGGAAAACTCATCTCCCTCATCGCCTAGCACGTCTTGCTACTGAGCATGCGCGGGCGCGCTGGCACGAGTCCGCTTGGCCTTCGAGGGGCATGTGAGATTCGGAAAAAACTTAAGATAACACAGGACAGGACTGTCTCTGGTCGAGAGAGAAAAACTCTCCCGCAAAGAAAAAATCGTGTTCTTATGCAGCTTTTCTTCCTCGGCGCCTGTATAACCGACAGGACGTGTCTGATTTAATGCCTCAAAGACACTTAGGTCCGCAAGACCACAGTTTAACGCATGACTTCTCTTGGCATCTCCACTCGATTTTTCCCTTCTAGGTTCTCTGGCTTCTCGACTTTTATTATTCCCCGCCCCCCGCGCCCCGCAGACCAGACCGCTGGGAATTGTAGCCGCCTCCAGCCCCCATTCAATCAATTCAATTACAAGTGTGGAGTAGCCCCTCTGCTGGTGAGGGTGGGAAGCAGCCACCACAGTCCTACTCGGTTCATCACTTTCTTGGCCTATGGCAAAGACCGTCTTTACAGTCTTCATTCTAATTGGCTACAGTCCGTCTCTATCCTACAGGCACAGAAAAGCTGTAGGAAACAATTTGCTGCAAAAGGTTCTCATGGCTCTCCAGCCTCTCAAATGTCCATTTTTTTTCTCATCTCCATCCTCACCTCCGTCGGTTTCCTGAACACTCCCAAGTTCTCCCTTCTAGGCCTTATCACTCCCTGATCCCTCTGGCTGGAATACTTCTGCTTATTCCAATACTGGACCTCTTCACCTTCCTTTTCCTCCTTTACTCCTCCTTCCCAAGGCACTTTAAGAAGCCTTTCTCAAACCCCTAAGTCTGTAGTAGCTGGCCTTGGCACCAGAATCCCTTACTTCCCTATCAGAGCGCTCAGTCACTGTATTGTAAGTATCCATTCATGTGTCTGAAATCTCCGCCTCTACTGTCAGCTCCAGCTGATCAGCGACTATACTTTTTTTTTTTTTTTTTTTTTTTTGAGACGGAGTTTCGCTCTTGTTGCTCAGACTGGAGTGCAATGGCTCTATCTCGGCTCACCGGAACCTCTGACTCCCGGGTTCAAGCGATTCTCCCGCCTCAGCCTCCCGAGTAGCTGGGATTGCAGTCATGCGCCACCACACCCGGCTAATTTTGTATTTTTAGTAGAGATGAGATTTCTCCCTGTTGATCAGACTGGTCTCGAACTCCCGCCCTCAGGTGATCTGCCCGCCTTGGCCTCCCAAAGTGCTGGGATTACAGGCGTGAGCCACCGTGCCCTACCTGTCTTAATGAAAGTGAGGCAGGAGAATAGGGCCTGGGGGCAGGGAACCTAAGGCCTTTTCACACCTGGAACTAAATTTAAAGAAAAACCCTAACTTTCCACCCTAAGTAACAAAAGGACCACAGGCTATGCCCTTTGCAAATCCCCACCTTTTCTGGAGGCAGAGAAGAAATTGGCTGTCCCTACCCAATCAGACTGATTGCCAGCTGAGTCTTCATTTGCATAGAAGTGCAACTTTGTAACTCTGTAACATTGCTTTTTGCAACCAATCAGATGTTTGCACAGCAGTGTGACCTTTGTAACTCCACTTCAGACTCTGACTCCTTGCTTTCCGCAAGGATTCAGACCTATTGGGGGCCACCACTTCATTTACATGAGGTGAACTCCAAGTGACCAGTGGGAAACCTCTAGAGGGTATTTGGACCCAAGATGATTATGTATCCAGGTCCTTCTGCACTGCTCAGGAGGCTCCCATATTGTGGAGTGTACTTTCATTTTCTTTTTTTGAGACAGAGTCTCCTTCTGTCGCCCAGGCTGGAGTGCAGTGGCACAATCTCGGCTCACTGCAACCTCCGCCTCCCAGGTTCAAGGGATTCTCCTGCCTCAGCCTCCAGCTGGGATTACAGGTGCGCACCACCACACCCAGCTAATTTTGGATTTTTAGTAGAGACCAGGTTTCACTATGTCGACCAGGCTGGTCTCCAACTCCTGACCTCAAGAGATCCTCCCAACTCGGCCTCCCAAAGTGCTGGGATTACAGGTGTGAGCCACCGCGCCCGGCCATGTACTTTCATTTTCAATAAATTTCTGCTTTCGTTCTTTTGTTGCATCATTCTTTCCTTGCTTTGCTGTGCCTTTTGTCCAATTCTTTGTTCAAAATGCCAAGAACCTGGACAACTTGCAGTCAAGACCCTCCACAGGTAACAAAAGTAGGAACTCAAAATTATTTCATGAATAAATGTATATAAATGATTTTCATTTAACAACAAGCTTCTATAACATATAAGCAAGTTCTCATAACAGACCTCACCATTTAGAAAAAAAAAAAAAATATTGAGGGACCACCTCCTACCATATACCCAGCATTTTCAGTATTTCTGGCTGAATATGCTGGAAATATTAATATTTTGGGATTAAAAAAAACTGCAAGGGTTCTTTGTTATAAAAGTAATCCATGTGTCTCAGAAAAAAATTCACAGTCAAAAGTATATAAAGTGGGCTGGGTGCGGTGGCTCACGCCTGTAATCCCAACACTTTGGGAAGTGAGGTGGGTGGATCACCTGAGGTCAGGAGTTCAAGACCAGCCTGGCCAACATGGTGAAAACTCATCTCTACTAAAAATACAAAAACTAGCCAGGTGTGGTAGCATGCACCTGTAATCCCAGCTACTTGGAGGCTGAGATAGGAGAATCGCTTGAACCTGGGAGGCAGAGGTTGCAGTGAGCCAAGATTGTGGCACTGCACTCCAGGCTGGGCAACAGAGCGAGACTCTGTCTCAAGAAAACAAAAGTATATAAAGTAAAAATTAAACTCCCCGTTTCCTCCTTTCCCTGCCCATATCTCATCCCCAAAGGTAACTTATTTTAAGAGTTTAGGGTGAATCCTTTCAAGTAAGTCACAAATACCACAAAAATATATGGTATTTGTAAACCAAGGAAAGGAATAAAATTGGTCCTGAAGAAAAATCATAACATAGGCCTTGAATGCTGTTAGGCCTCTCCTATCTTTTCTTTCTTCTCAATCAACTTGGTTTTTCTTACTGTGAAGACAGGCCTTTTGGCTCCTCAGTTACTTTGAAAGAACATGGCCACCAAAAAGTTCCAGCTTTGTAGGACCTCAGAGTTCAAGTAGAGTAACGAGACTATACTAGCACCTTAGTCGAATTCTAAATCCCAAGAAGAGGCTTCAGTTGGCCTAGAGTCAGCCAGATTCCATTCTGTGGCCTGCCTGGGTCAACTTGGGGAGATCATAAAGGATGGTAGGGGGAGAAGTCTGGTCAGAAAAAAACTGTACGTATCGACTGCAGTATATTTTGGTCTTCATTCCATGTTGGTGCATTCTTTTTAAAGGCTATAAAACCGTCTACTGCATTTTAAAAGTTAGAAGACATTATACACATTTAGATTATTTCCAGTGTTTCATTATTGCAAGCAATACAGCAATGAACAATTATCTACATTATACATCATGGAATTCGGGGGGGTCATAGGATATGAACATTTGAAATTTTCATATATATTACCACTTTGCCCTATAAAAAGGTTGTGACGTGATACTTCCACATATATACCTGTACTGGACGTTTCCATTCGTTTTCAGCTTTGCCAAACATTATGTTGGGGAAAAAAAGATATTTATCTATTCGTCATTATTTAATGGTCATTTATTCTGTACCAAGTCTCTAAGGACATGCGATTACAGCAGAAAACAAAACAAACCCCCGACCCCATGGAACACTAAACAGAGGGCAGTTACATCAATGTAAATGTTGAGTGCTAGGAAGAAAAATAAAGAGTAAGACGATTTGGCAGTTTTGGGCAGAGCTCGCTATTTTAATTGTGGTGGTCATTCAAGCTGAAAACAGAAGTAAGGGTAAAAACTAGGCAGACATCTGGGGAAAGGCCATCCAGGTCCTGGGGAAGTAGCATGCCTGGCACATTCAATGAAGAGCAAGGAGGGTGGGGAGGCTGGGGCAGAGTAAGCAAAGGGGAGAATAGGATAATATATCAGGGTAGGACCTAGGGAATATCGTTATCATGATTGCAAGTCTTCTGCACTGTCTGTAATAATAATAATATTATTTTTTGAGACGGAGTTTTGCTCTTTTTGCCTAGGCTGGAGTGTAATGGTGAAGTCTTGGCTCACTGCAACCCCTGCCTTCCAGGTTCAAGCGATTCTCCTGCCTCAGCCTCCCGAGTAGCTGGGATTACAGGCACCCGCCATCACGCCCGGCTTATTTTTGTATTTTTAGTAGAGACAGGGTTTCACCATGTTGGCCAAGCTGGTCTCGAACTCCTAACCTCAGGTGATCCGCCCACCTCGGCCTCCCAAAGTGCTGGGATTACAGGCGTAAGCCACCGCGCCTGGCCTGTAATAATATTAACAACAGCAAAAGATCATTTTGCAGGCCAGGCACGGTGGCTCACGCCTGTAATCCCAGGACCTTGGGAGGCTGAGGAGGGAGATTGGCTGGATCCCAGGAGCTCGAGACCAGCCTGGGCAACTGGGCGAAACCCATCTCTACCAAAAATTAGGCGGGCGTGGTGGCGCACGACTGTATTCCTAGCTACTCAGGAGGCTGAGGTGGGAGGATTGCTTGAGCCCCATTGGTCGACGCTGCAGTGAGCCGTGATCGCGCCACTGCACTCCAGCCTGGGTAACATAGGGAGACCCTGTTCCCGCCCCGCTAAAAAAAAAAATCATTTTGAAATTGCAACCTCCCATCTCCATCTGCAACAACTCCCCGTTCTCAGTTCAACTGATAGGAAACCTCTAGATATGGCTGTAGTACAAGAATGAAAAGAGGTACTCATTCATAAATCTGATCCATAGTGGTGGCATTTCCGGGAAAAATGTTCCATACCCCCACCATACCGGCGACCCTATTTGCACCTGGCTAACCAGGCAATGCGGAAAAGGAGCAGCGCCAGCGCTGTGGTGAGCGCGGCCCCGCCCAGCACGCTAGTGGGCGGGGAGAAATTGGCCACAGAGCAGTCTCCGGAAGCTCTGGCTACCCTGTTAACGTGTCCGGTGAGTGAGGCGCGTCGCAAAAGGTCGCGGCGGAACTTCCCTGCGCTTTTCAGACCATACGCTTTACGGTACTAGGCATTGCTGAGCTGGGAGATGTCGGCAGCGGGTTGGGAGGAACCGTGGGGTCCTCCCGGCGGCTTTGCGAAGCGGGTCCTGGTGACCGGCGGTGCTGGTTTCATGTAGGTAATGGCCAAGAAGTGGCTCCCCAGAAACCCCTACCTTTTCCCGCAGCTCTGCTTGCCCTAGGCAATTTGGGTCCAGCTTTGAGGGGTCCTTATTCTGATGGGAGGGTCCTAATGTACGACCTAGACCAGCTTTTCTCTCCCTGGCCTGCAAAGAAGTGGTTCCTTTGAAACTGTGACTTCTTTAAAACGCCTCTTCCAAACCTGTGTTACTCTCGCCCTTCTGTGGCCCGAGGTGCCCACCACGTCACTCCTTGAGTGCGTGCAAGTTACCCTAAGTTGCTCACCGACTGCTTCCCACCCCCATCCTAGAGCACCCCCACCCCACGATGGGCCCTGTACACATAGGCACCCCAAAAACGATTTGAGGATTATAATAGGACATCCAAACATTTACACATCCACTGTTGACACCCTTTTCTTCCTCAGACCCGCATTCGATCAGCAAGCCCTCTCTGCTTCCAAAGTATATCCTTACGGCGACCACTTCCCACCACTTTCCCCTTTCCACCCTAGCCCATGTTTACCGTCATCTTTTGCCTAGACTGCTCCTGTAGCCTCCTGGTTGGCCATAACCGCGTCCACGCATGTTCCTTTAAAGCCTGTTGCTCACATACAAGTCAGTGTTTCTTAATCAGGTCATGTTAGGAGCAGGATTTTACTTCAGTGGTTCCTGCCACACTTAGAATAAAGCCCAAACTCTGCCATATCTAGAAAACTCAAGTGCCCAAGCCCTACTTTTGCAACGTGATCTGCTTTTCTGTACCTGCCATGCTTCCCCTCTTACAGTTCTTGGAACACACCAAGACACACACTTCTATCTTGAGGGCTTTGCACTTGCTTCCCCTTTCGTTAGGCTGTTTGCATCACTCAATTCCGGTTTTTGTCCAGATATGACCTCCTCAGAGAGTTCTTACCTGACCGCCATATCTAAAATAGCCTCTTTCCCAACTAGCACACTTACCTCTACCTGCAATTATATTGCGGATTTGTGTCTGCTTGTTTATTGTTTGTATCCCCACTCTAAAATGCAAACATGATAAGGACAGAGACTACTGTTCACTCAGCACCTGGAAGAATGCCTGGCCCATTCTATGTAAGTCTTTAGTAATTGTGGAATGGATGAAGGCAAGAGTAATAAACAGGAAACTCTCCCATCCTCCCCTCAAGGAACTCTATGTCTAGTGGAAGAAAAGAGAATGTGAGGATTCCTGTTTATGGCCATTTGCACATTAAATCACCCCTTCTAATCTGATACTTCAGGGATTCTATGTTGCCCTTTGGCCATTACACATTCACCTTCTAATCGACAAATTATAAGCGGGGACAGCATCAGGCTGGCAGTTTCACTTTAATAAGAAAGGGGACTACTTATAGACGAAGGGTAATACTTGTGTTGGAGTTCTTAGGTCCAGAGGGGAGGTGAGGTAGAAAGGTGCTGTGAGAGAAAGTGCTGACTACAAACTCAAGTTCTTAATTTGGTCAGAGGCACTTACTTTCAGGGCCAACATTTATATTCCTGTTTATGGCCATTTGCACATTAAATCACCCCTTCTAATCTGACAAGTCACTTGGGGGACAGCATCAGGCTGGCAAGTTTCACTTAATAAGAAAGAGGACTATGGGCATGAAAGGGTAATACTTGTGTTAGAGTGCAGGTCCAAGAGGGGGGTGAGGTAGAAAGTGCTGTGAAAGGAATGCTGACTACAAACTCCAAGTTCATAATTTGGTCAAGGGCTGCCCTTTCCTGGGAGCCCAACATTTTAAGTATTTGTGGTAAATCTGGTAGATCATTTCACTGAGATATGCCTCTGATTCCTCTTTAGAGTCCTCTGAAGCTCAGGACCCACAGTGGATATCCAGCTCAGGATGGTTTCAGCTGTTATTAGCCTGGGAATCCTGGGTTCAGTCTAGAACCCTCCTGAGGATTCTAGTTTAACATTACCAAAATCTTATACCAAGAAATAGCAATTGCAGAAGTTACTATTAAATATAGACAACTGACTATGCTCATAGTAATTTAATGTTTACATACTTACATCTGCAGTTCCTAAAAAGGCATGCTATAGGCATGTACAGTTGTGCTGACTGGCTCCCATTTATCGTTCCCTACACTTGTGCATGTATGTATGGCATCATTTGGTTAAACTGACTTTTTTCCCTGTACCCAGAACCAGTACATTCTCTCTTCTACATAGTCTAAATGGAATGTAAAAGTTTCGTTTATAGATACTGTTGAGAAGTTTGGTAAAAAGTTTGCATGTGTGTATATTTAGTGTAGTTATATTGTTTTCTGTTATCTTAGAAAAAATTAAAGTTATCTTTGAGTATTTTCCTAGTACTCAACATCTTAGGAAAATATTCAAGAGTTTAAAGATTTTTCACTAACAAGATATACTTTTTTTTAAAATAGTGCATCACATATGATTGTCTCTTTAGTGGAAGATTATCCAAACTATATGATCATAAATCTAGACAAGGTGAGTTTTATAAAAATGAGCTTCATGCACTGAAATTACATTTCAATTTATGTTTTTTAAAAGTACTAGAATCCTGTCATGCTGATATTTTAACTTTTTATTTAGTCATTTTAGCAATTTAGAGGCTCTATATTGTAATGTGCTTATGCTGTATTTAATCTTATATGTCAGTTTTTGAAACTTGCATTTCTTATGGTGGTCCACAAAGTAAAGTCTTTGTTTTGTTTTTTCAGTTGCTACTTTGTAAATGGACTTTTTGGATTTTCATTCAAAAAAAACTATAAGAAAAATTTGTAAGGCAGTTTGGTGATTATAAGCCTTAATTGGATTTTTTTGTCTATTTTTTAATTGACATATCTTAGCTGTACTTGCTATGGGGCATATGGTGATGTTTTGATACATGTATACAATTTGTAATGATCAAATCAGGGTAATTGGGACATCCATCATAAGAATAACCCTTAACTCTTATGAAGCTTTGCCTGACTTGCTATTATGGACAGGAATTTTTTTCTATATCACCAATATACCAACAGTTTGAGGAATAGGTATAATAAATTCTATTATGTATAACACAGGTATAATTATTTTCAATCACTAATTCCTTTTCTGTAAGAAATAGTAAACTTTTCTAGCCACCAGTGGCTACAGGCAAATTTTGGCAGGAACATTTTTTTGTGTGTTTGTTTGAGATGGAGTCTTGTTCTGTCGCCAGGCTGGGTTGCAGTGACGCAATCTCAGCTCACTGCAACCTCCACCTCCCGGGTTCAAGCGATTCTCCTGCCTCAGCCTCCTGAGTAGCTGGGATTATAGGCACGCCACCAAGCCCAGCTAAATTTTGTATTTTTAGTAGAGATGGGGTTTCACCATGTTGGCCAGGATGGTCTCGATCTCTTGACCTTGTGATCCGCCTGCCTCAGTCTCCCAAAGTGCTGGGATTACAGGCATGAGCCACCACCCCCAGCCAGGAACATTTTTTAAAGTAGAGATTTATGAAAAGGTTTTTGTTTTGGTTTTTGGTACTTTGAAAAGGTAACAAAATTACTTGTGTTTTACTTTTAAGATATCAGAAACTTAAAATGTGTAAAAACAGGCCAGCATGGTGGCTCACGCCTGTAATCTCAGCACTTTGGGAGGCTGGGGCAGGCGGATCACGAGGTCAGGAGATCGAGACCATCCTGGCTAACACAGTGAAACCCTGCTTTTACTACAAAATACAAAAAATTAGCTGGGCTGTGGTGGCTGGTGCCGGTAGTCCCAGCTACTCCGGAGGCCGAGGCAGGAGAATGGCGTGAACCCGGAAGGCAGAGTTTGCGGTGAGCAGAAATTGCGCCACTTCACTCCAGCCTGGGCGACAGAGCGAGACTCAGTCTCAAAAAAAAACAAAGAGTGTAAAACCAGGGAACAAACACACTTTAAGAGGACATGCTCTTGTGTTATAACCATTAACATCTATAGTCTAAAATAAATTGGTATTTGATTGGAAAAGCTAATGTCACTTTTTGTATTGCCCCTTCTGTGCTCTCTTCTTTCAAGTTGGATTACTGTGCAAGCTTGAAGAATCTTGAAACCATTTCTAACAAACAGAACTACAAATTTATACAGGTATGAACATTTTCGTGTAATTGTACTGTGACTCTTTAGTCATGCAGGGATTATAGTATCTTTGTACTTTACAAACCTGTGTAATATGAGCTTGAAAGGAACACTAATTAAAGGCCTTTTAAAAGATCAGATAGTTAATTTCCAAAAGTACCATGTGCTCTAGAGGATACTACTTTTGATTGACAACACATACAAAGCTACATGTGATTTTTGGTACCTTAGCAGCTCTACCAGTAGCTGACTGAATTTACATGGTTTGTATTTTAGTTCCTCCCTAGTCTTTCCCTGTGAAGGTTGATTGACTCTGGAAGTCTCATTTTTAGACAAATCCAAAGTATAAACCACAGGACCAGTTCAATAATTTGCAAAGGGAAATGTTATTGTCAAATGAAACTATTTTACTTATGATATATTGTTTTTTATAGTTATGCTATAAACTCTCTTTTTAACTACAAAACTTAGAATATACTAACAACCATTTCATAATTCTGTATGAAAGTGTTTTCTTCAGCTATTGACAAATTGTCAAGAATTCATATTTTTAGAAGAATTAAATGTACATATAAACGTTAGAAGTACCATAATTTTACTTAATTGTGATAAAATGTGTTTTCAAAATATTCCAGTTGTTACACTATATTTTTTTGAGACAGAGTCTGGCTCTCTCGCCCAGGCTGGAGTGCAGTGGCATGATCTCGGCTCCCTGCGACCCCTGCCTCCTGGGTTCAAGCAATTCGCTTGCTTCAGCCTCCGTACTAGCTGGGATTACAGGCACCCGCTACCGTGCCTAGCTAATTTTCATATTTTTAGTAGAGACGAAGTTTCACCATGTTGGCCAGGCTGGTCTCAAACTCTGGACCTCAAGTGATCAGCCCATCTCAGCTTCCCAAAGTGCTGGGATTACAGGCGTGAGCCACTGCACCCTGCCTAAGATATATTTTAGTAATGGTTATCTCAAAGGTTTCTTTAAAAATGCTAAAAAAGTTTTCTCTTAATATAGTGGCCTTGGGTTGGCAAAAATGTTGTGGACAACACTAGCATGGTACTTAGTAGTTGTTGGTGCTCATTAAAATATTATTTGGAAAAATAATTTGAATTGAATATCTAATATCCTAAGATGCTGGAGAAATACATCATTGGTATACTTGTTTGAGCACTTAGTTGAATTTTCAAAACATTCTCTATTAAACAGGGAGGTGGGAGGTAGGGGGATGTTATAGTAAAAATGGTTATGAATAAGAGTGCTCAATGAAATCTAACCCTTTCATGTTTGCTTTTTCATATAGGGTGACATATGTGATTCTCATTTTGTGAAACTGCTTTTTGAAACAGAAAAAATAGATATAGTACTACATTTTGCTGCGCAAACACATGTAGGTAAGCATTGTTTTATGTTACAGTTATGATTGGCAGTTCTCTTCTGGCCCCCGCCCCCCTACCCCCACCTCCGTACTTAACAATACTTATATTTGAAAGAGGATATATCATACTGTACTAGAAAAACAAGACCACAGCCACTGTGTCATCAATAAACTCAACACTTTTTAGATACTTTTATTAGCATTGCAAGGCTATATTAGTGAAATATAACCTTGAATGCTGTCTGAAAACTTGAGTTGAACCAATTCAGGATAGTAAAAGGGAGCAATGGGGAGATGGGCTGTCAACTGTATTTTTTACGTTGTTTTTCTTAAATTTTGTTATGGTGTGCAGATGAACATTATATCATTTTGTGAATTTTAGATATTTTCTAATAATTTGACAGTTTTATTATGAAATATATTTGAAAGTGTTTAGAAATACAGTTAAATAATGATAATGTGAGCACCCATGTATCTATCACCTGAACAAAAGGCAGAATGTTGCTGAATCCTCTTCACTAGTAAGTACTACTGCTGCCTATTACCAGATTTAAAGTTATAATTTCCTTTGCTTTTCTCTACACTTTTGCTGTTGTGTATATATATACATATATATGTATATATATATATAATGATGTAGTTTTTTTTGTTTTTTCAGAATCCGTGTAGATTCATCCATGGAGTCGGATATAGATATAGTTTGTTTTCAGTGTCATTCCAGTGTAAAAAATATATATGTATACACCATAGTTTACTTAATATACTTTATTCTTAATGGCCATTTGGGTTCTTTACACTTTGGAGCAACTTTGAACACTACTACCTTGAACATGTATCATGATACATAAATATACATTACCTTTGGCTATATAACTGAGATCATAAGATCTGCATATTTCATGTTGAGATAATGTCAAACCATGTTCCAAAGTAATTATACCAACTTCCACTCCTCTAGAAGTGTGTGACTTCCTGTTGCTCCAGATCTCACCAAAGCTTAGTTTTGTCAGTCTTTCCATTTTTGCCAATTTCAGTGCTGTGTAGTGGTGTCTCATGTTTCTAATTTGTATTTTCCCTGATTACTAATAAGATTAAGTACTTTTCATATGGCTTTTTGTAATTTGGATTTCTCCTTTGTGAAATGCTGTTGAAATATTTTATCCCTTTTAAAATGGGATTGTTTACCTTTTTCTCATTGAAAGAGAAGTTTCAATAAGAAAAAATGGCAAGTAGAGTTTTTATATATTCAGGACACTAGTTCTTTGTCATTCTGTATGTTACAGATGCCTTCTACTCTGTATGGCCTATCTTCTCACTTTCTTTATAGTGTGTTTTGATGAACAGATGTTTTCAATGTCAGTGTAGTGAATGTGTGTTTTTTCCTTAATGCTTACTGCTTTTTCAGTTCTTAAATTCTCTCCTACGCCGAGGTCATGAAGATATATTTTTCTATATTATCTTTTCAAAGCTTTATAATTTTGTCTTTTACAATTAGATTTGTAATCCATCTGAAATTAATTCTTTTATAACACCAATTTCATGTTTTTCCATGTGAATACCAATTGTTCCTGTACCATTTATTGAAAAGTTTACCAGTTTCTACCCTCTGTCATATCAAGTTTATTTTTGTATCTGTCTCTTCATTTGTTTGTCTCTGCCTGTCTGATACGCACTATATTGACGATTACAATGATTTCATGTCTGTTAAAGCAAATCCTTCTACTTGGTTAATGATAAAAGCAGTTGTGCACTTCTACCAGCAATTTATGAGATATTTGCCAACACTTGCTGTGTCAGTTTTATGGTTTTATTTTTCCCTGATGAAGTTAAAAACCTTTTCATTTGTTTATTGGACTATTCTCCCTCTCTTTCTTATTAGTATATCCTCTTTGGAAAAATTTGTTTAAGTTTTGTGACCATTTCGTATTAGGTTGTCAGTGTTTTCCTTACAGATTTCATGTATTTTGGATTCAAGCCTTTTGTAGCTACATTCTTCTTCTTCTTCTTTTTTTTTTTTTTTGAGACTGAGTCTCACTCATTGCCCAGGCTGGAGTGCAATGGCACGATCTCGGCTTACTGCAACCTCTGCCTCCCGGATTCAAGCGATTCTCTTGCCTCAGCCTCCCGAGTAGCAGGGATTGTGCCACCACGCCCGGCTAATTTTGTATTTTTGGTAGAAATGGGGTTTCACCACATTGGCCAGGCTGGTCTCGAACTCCCAACCCTACTCAGGTGATCCACCCGCCTCAGCCTCCCAAAGTGCTGGGATTACAGACGTGAGCCACCACGCCCGGCCTTTTCCCATTTTTAATAGTGTCTTGTTAGTGAAAGTTGTCTTAATTTCAATGTGGGTTAATTTATCTGTACCTTTTTCTTTAGGGTTAGTGCTCTTTCTGTCTTGATTAAGAACTTGTTTCCCACCTCCAAGGTCATGGACATTGTCTTATAATTCTTTTCTTAAAAGTTACTGTTTTTCCTTTTACATTTAGATTTCTTCCCCATATCCATATCAGTTTGACTCAAAATCATTTATTGAAAAGACTTGACTCTTCCTCATTGTCTCTTTTGTCATGGGTCAAGTGTTTTTATATGTATACTTCTATTTCTCGGCTCTATTCAATTCCGTTGGTCTTTGTCTGTGCTTATACTATTATCACACCATCTTAATTACCGTAGCTTTATAATAATTCTTTATACCAGCAAAGCAAACCTCCCACCCTGTTGTTCCAAAAAACAGCATTTGACATTTGACATTGTTGTTCCAAAAAAACAATCTTTGACATTGTTGATCTTTTCTTATGCGTGTTTTGTTTTCTATATAATGAATTTCTGGTCTTACCTTTATTATTTCATTATTTGTGCTTTGTTTAGGCTTACTTTCTATTCTTTTTTCTAATCTTTGTGATATATTTAGCTTATTAATTTTCACCTTTTCTCTAATCTATACATTTTAGACTATGAATTTACTTCTAAATACTGCTTTATCTGAATCCCACAGATTTTCGTATGTATTTTTTCCTTATCTTTTATTCTGAAGAGTTTGATTTCTTGCTGGCTGCGGTGGCTAACACCTGTAATCCTAGCACTTTGAGAGGCCAAGGCAGGCGAATCACTGGAGCCCAGGAGTTCCAGACCAGCCTGGGCAACATGGCGAGACCCTGTCTCTACAAAAAATAATAATAAAAAATAAAGCCCGGCATGATGGTGTGTGCCTGTGGTCCCAGCTACTTGGGAGGCTGAGGTGAGAAGATCACTTGAGCCCAAGAGGTGGGGTTGCAGTGAGCTGAGATTGCACCCCTGCATTCCAGCCTGGGCAATAGAATGAGACCTTGTCTCAAAAAAAAAAAAAAAAAGAAAAAAGATTTTGGTTTCTTCTTTAATCTATGGGTTACTTAGACTTGTATGTCTTAATTCCCAAACATGTATGGGTTTTCTTTTTCTTATTGAATTCTAGCTTAAATGTATATGATTAGATAACATACTCTATGATTGTAGTCCTTTATGCTACAACTTGCTTTTTGGCTCAGTATATGGTCACTTTCTGTAACTTGTATATGTATTTAAAAGAATGTTAATTTGCAAACATTGGGTTCATTGTTCTTTATACATCCACTAGGTTAAGTTGGTTAATGACGTCCTTTAAATCTCTTGTGTATTTCTGGTGAATTGAACCTTTTATCCTTATGAAGTGATCTGTTTTCCCTGGTGATGTGTACTGCTTTAAAATCTATTTTGTTTGACATTAGTATAGCTGTGTTACTTCCTTTTTGGTTAGTATTTTCATGATACTTTTCCATCTTTTTATTTCTCTAGCTTTATGAGTTAGCTGCATGTCTTGTAAACAACGTGTATTTGGATTTTGATTTTTTTAAAACCCATCCTGACCATCCTTGATATTTACCCTCAGTGTTTAGTTTGTTGCTATATTTGGATTTATTCCTACCATCTTACTGTATGCTTTCTTTTCTCACCTGTTCTGTTTCCTTGGTTGCTGCTTACTTTTTTTTCAAAAAAAAGAATTCTTCCTTTGTAAAAAGTTGTTTATTTAAAAAAAATTATTGCTTGCTTTTTTAAAGGACTTGACTGAGGAATTTTTCTTATTCTCTTTTTCTCCCTCTACTAGTTTGGAAATTATGTGTTCTCTTGGTACTCTTGGAGTGGTTACCCTACAAATTACAGATGTATAATTAGCTTATCAAAGTGTAAAGTTCATCAAAACCTTTGTCCTCTTCCCATTTAATTTCCAACTCCATTTTTAGCTATTTTTAACTCTGTTTTTATCTGTTTTTTTGTTTTGTTTTGTTTTTTTAGGCGGAGTCTTGTTCTGTCACCCAGGCTGGAGCACAGTATTGTGATCTCAGCTCACTGCAACCTCTGCCTCCCAGGTTCAAGCAGTTCTGGTGCCTCAGCCTCCCAGGTAGCTGGGATTACAGGCATGTGCCACCACACCTGGCTTATTTTTTGTATTTTTAGTAGAGATGGGCTTTTGCCATATTGGCCAGACTGGTCTCAAAACTCCTGACCTCAGGTGATCCACCCACCTAGGCCTCCCAAAGTGCTGGGATTACCCACCATGTCCAGCCTGGAATTTTAAATTGATCTTATTTTTTTATTCCCACTAGATGTCATTATTACTACTTTATATAGTCAGTAGTCATTATATTAGGGGTTTACAAAATGATATTCTAATTATGTTTTTCTTCATTTATACCTGTAATATCTACATAAAAACAAGTTTTCCAGCCAGGCACGGTGGCTCATGCCTGTATTCCCAACACTTTGGGAGGCTGAGATGGGTGGATTACCTGAGGTCAGAAGTTCAAGACCAGCCTAGCCAACATGGTGAAACCCCGTCTCTAAAATACAAAAACATTAGCTGGGCGTGGTAGTGGGCACCTGTTACCCCAGCTGCTCGGGAGGCTGAGGCACAAGAATTGCTTGACCCTGGGAGGCAGAGTTTGCAGTGAACTGAGATTGTGCCACTACACTCCAGCCTGGGCAACAAAGAGAGAGAAAGAGAGAGAGAGAGAGAAAAAAAAAAAAAAAGTTTTCCTTATAAATTATTTGCTTACCTTGATATTTAATTGTTATAGAAAAGCCAGGTTAAATACCTGATTATTTTTATTTATTTAGTAGATTTTACTATAATGATTTGGTTTCCAAGCATCCTCCTTTTTCTTTTTTCTTTTTTTTAGTATCATTATGAATTTGTAGATTTTAACACATTTGATTTTTTTTTTTGTTTTAACCACTTGCAGTTATTTTTCTTATTTATGTTCAAAATGACTCACCATTAGCCATTGAGAGGCTCTTCTAGTTGCTTCCTGAGTCCTTTTTGACATGACCTTAGCAGTCTTTGACAGCCATCTAACTTTCTGGTTTGATAGGATGTTTCAGTTTTATCTTCAATGTTTTTTCCCCGAAGATCTGGAATCAGCTCTTTGTCTCAGGAGCCGTTGTTCCTTTTGGTGGGAAATGGTGTTTAGAGGCCACAATCTGGGCCCTGGGAGTGCTTATTAACTGATTGGACATTGTTTCAAGGCTTTTTCAGTTAACAAAACTAGGGAATATTATTCGCCTATTTACTTAAGATTAAATGTGACATGGGTTTATACTGAAATGTCCAATTCAGATTCAGAGTTTTTGTTTAAGTTCGTCAGTCTTTCATTTATATCATCTTTTCCTTACCTTGAACACCTTGGTTCTCAACAGCACCACCCTAATTACTCATTTACTTTATTCCAGAACACACAATGAGTCCACATTTCTTCTTTTAAGGACACCAGGTAGATTGGATTAGGACCCATCCTAAAGACCTGATTTTCACTTAATCACCTCCTTAAGAGCCCTATCTCCAAATATAGTCACATTCTGAGGTTCTGGGGGAAGGGGTTGGGCCTTAAGATGAATTACGGGGAGAACACAGTTTAGCCCATAACTCTGGACTAGAGGGAAATGCCTATGTAATTTGACTGGATATTTCCAAGTTTGCTTCCTTAGGGATTGTAAACATTTTACATCGTCATTGTCAGTGTATAAAGTATCTTTCGCCTAACAGCCTCAACAACTAAGTGATTTGTCAAATTTTTGAATTTTTGCCAGTCTGCTAAGAAGTGGTATCTCTGAGTTTTTAATTTGGGTTTTTTTAATTGTATGTGAGGTTGATCATCATAATCTTAAGGACCCATTTGTATTTCTTCATCTAAACTGTTTATGTCTCCTACCTGTTTTACTGTAGGATTGTCCTTATTTATTTAAAGTTCTTTATAAGTTGACGATACTTAACCATTTATCTCTGTAATTTCACATGGTTTTTCCCAGTTTGTCATTTTTGTCTTTTTAATTTGTTTTTAGTTTTTTAACCATGCAATATTTTTATATGGTCAACTTTATCCGTCTCTTCCATTATTGCTTCTGGATTGTGATTCATCATTAAGGAAGTTCCTTCCATTTCCTGGTTATAGAGGTTCAGTTCTTTTAAGGTGAATTTATTTTTAAATAACTCATTCAACATTTATTGCTTTCAGCAGTAACAGATTGATCTTAAAAAGCCTAGCCCTGTAATTCATAATTTTTTAAATTTAAGAACATTTTAAATTTCGGTGTATTATTTTTAAATTTTCTTCCTTATAGAATAAAAAACTTTCCTGCAAATTTAACACTGATAGTTTTCTGGGTTCCAAGAATTTGCATGCACTATGTAATTTAGGTTTAAAGAAATCATAAATATCACTGCCTGTGTATGTTATTACTATAACTGTTGCAGCTGTGGTAAATGAAGAGCCGTGAATAGTACCCTCCTTAAACCTGAGTCCAACATTTGACATTTGTTTTATCCGTTGGGTAGTCTTGTTTTAGCTTTCCACTCTTTTTTTTTTTTAGATCTTTCATTCGTACGTGCCTTTGAGTTTACCTATGTTAATGTTTATGGCACTCACGTTTTGGTAAGTGCTGCTCATGAAGCCAGAGTGGAGAAGTTTATTTACGTCAGCACAGATGAAGTATATGGTGGCAGTCTTGATAAGGTGAGCTTAGAAAATGTATATTTTATCTACTTAACCATGTACCATGATACAGTTTTATTAAACCTACACTGGGCTTTTTTCATCCTCAAATTATATATACTTGTAGTACTCTTCAAAGTGTTTTAGGATTCTGTAGAGGGACAGAACTGATAGAATAGACAGATATATAAAGGGGTATTTATTAAGTATTAACTCACATGATCACAAGGTCCCACAACAGGCCATCTGCAAGCTGAGGAGCAAGAAGAGCCAGTCTGAGTCCCACAATTGAAGAACTTGGAGTCAGATGTTCGAGGGCAGGAAGCATCCGGCATGGGAGAAAGATGTAGGCTGGGAGGCTAGGCCAGGGTAGTCGATTCATGTTTTTCTGTCTGCTTTATATTCTAGCCACACTGGCAGCTGCTTAGATGGTGCCCACTCAGATTGAGGGTGGCTCTGCCTTTCCCAGCCCAGTAACTCAAATGTTAATCTCCCTTGACAACACCCTCACAGACACACCTAGGATTAATACTTTGTATCCCTCAATCCAATCAAGTTGACAGTGTTAACCATCACAGAATGTTATTGCATTGTCTCCTCTGTTCAGATCAAGTGATACTGCCCCAAATGGGGAACAACAGCCTAGTCTTGGTAGAGACTTATTTATTTATTTTTTCATGCCCCAGAAATCTCTTTAGGTAGATTTATTTGTAATTTTGCAAGAGAATTGCAGATCTCACCTTTTTGTCCCACTCTTACACATATGATGAATGTCATTCCGTGGACCAAAGCATAAGTTACACTGCAGCATACTACCTGTTCATCTTTCCCTTTCAGTCATATCTTTCCCTTTCAGTCAGATTGGAATGTCAAGGAGACAGTGTAAAATTCTTGTAAAAACCAAAATCTTTTTTTTTTTTTTTTTTTGAGATGGGAGTTGCGCTCTTGTTGCCTAGGCTGGAGTGCAATGGTCCAATCTTGGCTCACCACAACCTCCACCTCCCGGGTTCAAGTGATTCTCCTGCCTCAGCCTCCCAAGTAGCTGGGATTACAGGCATGCGCCACCATGCTTGGCTAATTTTGTATTTTTAGTAGAGATGGGGTTTCTCTATGTTGGTCAGGCTGATCTCGAACTCCCGACTTCAGGTGCTCCACCTGCCTCGGCCTCCCAAAGTGTTGGGATTATTGATGTGAGCCACTGTGTCCAGCCTTAGAATCTATTTTTTAAAATAAATCATGCATAAATAATGTACTTTTTATGCAAAGGAAACTCCATTGTCCAATCTATAATTTTTATAGTTGGTGTCTGCAGTGACCTCATTTTGTTTATTATTTATGAATTTACTTATTTTACCAAGACACATACACAGTGAAAATCAAATAGTCCAGAAAGACTGACAGTGAGAAAAAGTAGACCTTGACCACTTCTCAGTTCTCAATTCTGCTTCCAAGAAGTAACTGTTTTTCAATTCTCTGCAGTTGTTATCAGATAAACTTCTTTGTTCATGCACCCTGCCACCCTACATCAGATCCGACACAGTAACCAGAGTGATTTTTAAAATGTAAGTCAGACCTGGCATTAGTCTGCTGAAAAATCAGTCATTGTTTTACGGTGGCCTTCAAGGTTTTGGCCTTCCTCAAGCTCTCTGACCTCCTCTCCCATGGTCTCTTCCCTCATATCAACCTTCCTGCAATTCCTTTGGACACGCTTCTGTCTCAGGGCCCTTGCCGCTCCCTCTCTCTGCTATATAGGATTGTTGTGCACATTAAAGAAGTTACTACATGTCCTTGGGAAAACACCAGGCACATAGGATTTAAGAAGTGGCTTTTAAAATTTGGTGATTGACATTTCAAGTTTTAACGTATGCTTTGATTTTTATACTTAAAATATGCATAATTTTTTAAATATGTATTTTTAAAATTAGGAATTCGATGAATCTTCACCCAAACAACCTACAAATCCTTACGCATCATCTAAAGCAGCTGCTGAATGTTTTGTACAGTCTTACTGGGAACGATATAAGGTAAGACCTGATTGCAGAAACTCTTGAAACATTTTCCTTTGGACTTAAGTGTTAAAACTCCAAGTGGGCTTTTTTTTTCCTAAAGATTTTTAAGTTTTCTATTTATTCTTCGGAGATAGTCTCGATCTGACACTCAGGCTGGTCTCGAACTCCTGACCTCAAGTGATCCGCCCACCTCGGCCTCCCAGAGTGCTAGGATTACAGGCGTGAGCCACGCCCAGCCCAAGTCAGCTTTTAGCAGCGTGCTTAGAGTAGAAGGCATAGATTGAGAAAATTTACATATTACGGAATTTTAAAAACTAATTTCCTCTATTGTGTGGACAAAATCAGACCGACTTCTTATTCAGTTCATCATTAAAGGAATAACTTGAATATACATTGTTTTTCTATTTCGGTAATAGGTAGAGTGTTACAGCTAGAGTCAGAATGAGGTTGGAGTCCTATGAGTGGAGGAAGACAGAGGGAGGACAGATCCCCTTTCTGCCGTGTGCTTCTCTCTGCATGATTTGGCTTTCGTGGCTCCTCATGAATGGGAAGTAGAGTTGCCCCTGGTGGCTCTGACAGTGTCAGTATGGGAGCCTTACCCCATATGAATCCTCACCTTGAATCTCCTACATTTGGCTTCCCACTGCTCTTGGTGAGTTTTTAGGGTGTGGGTCAGAGAGGCAAGCCTTGGAATTCCTAAAGATTCTCTCACAATTTGGATTCTGGTGGCATCAGTCCTTTTCACTTTCATAGTAGCTCTTTTTATTTGTAGGGGTTGGTACAATGAAGAGAGCCAATTTAGAGTCCTCGAATTGGTCTTTAAAATAATCAGCTGGAAAGTTCTTCAGTGTTTTGCTATCAGTCAGACTCATAAACCTGTGCCATCTGTGTTCATCTTCTTGTACTAATAAAAGAATGTTCCTCTCCTTTTTTTTGGAACCTCTGCCTTTATCTGAATCCTGTTCTCTCCTTTCTAGAAACCTTACGTTAGAAAAAAATCTCTTCCCTTTGACCTTAAGGTGTGTAGAATTATTTAGGCAATGGTGCCCATATTTTGAAATTCTGCTCGTCTTTAAAATAATCATCATTATTAGACCTTTTCAAAAGCCTTAATGTTGAATATTCTTTTAAGTTTCCAGTTGTTATCACAAGAAGCAGTAATGTTTATGGACCACATCAATATCCAGAAAAGGTAAACTTTACTTCTTAATTCATGGTGTTTTCCAGTGATTGTAACTTCTCATTATTTGAAATAACCTCTTTTCAGTTATTTGTCAAAATAATATGTTGTAAATTTTACATAATTTTATATGCTGTATAACACCACTTGCAGATTCCTTCAGACTTAGAGATTGAAGATGAGTTTTAAGTCTCAAGCTGGCTGACACTCACCAGCTGGCTTCACCACTTGGCAGAGATTTTGAAGAATCCAATGAGAATGATATATGTGAAAATACCTTGTACTTTTAAAGACTTTAAAGCATTTAGTATACTTCTACCACTACTGACATGCTGTAGTTGACTCCTTGTTTGCAGTCAGACCAGTATGTCAGGGTATACAGAAAGTCAAAAGCTAGCTAGCTAGTGATGCAAGAAGCTTGTATACATTAACTGTCTTAGTGTCAACTGGCTAACTGTGCCTCAACTTATCTTTATGGTGTAGGCATGACTTCCAGAAAGTACTACAAGTAATGAATAAAAAAATTTAGAGGCTGAAAATGCCTGTGCGGTTGGTTCTGTATCGTCAAGTCTGATTTTACATAACTTTGGCCACTCGGCCTAAATTTGGAGACTGGGTTTTTCTTTTTTCTTTTCTTTTTGTTTCTTTTTTTTTGAGAGGGAGTCTCTCTCTGTCGCCCAGGCTGGAGTGCAGTGGCGTGATCTCGGTTCACTGCAAGCTCCGCCTCCCGGGTTCATGCCATTCTCCTGCCTCAGCCTCCCAAGTAGCTGGGACTACAGGCGCCCGCCGCCATGCCCAGCTAAGTTTTTGTATTTTTAGTAGAGATGGGGTTTCACTGTGTTAGCCAGGATGGTCTCAATCTCCTGACCCCGTGATCCGCATGCCTCCGCCTCCCAAAGTGCTGGGATTACAGGCATGAGCCACCGCGCCTGGCTGGGTTTTCTTGCTTCCCATCTGGTTGCATTGATCTGTTTGCCCAAAGGAAAGGGCCATGTCATGACCTGCAGGTATTAATATTTACTTTGCTTAATATAAGTTTTCTTTGAATCCAAGAGCACTGGAATTTACTTTCTATAAATTCCTCAAGCACTTAGTGCATAGGTGCTATATGTAATCCAATAAGTAAGATACAAATGTCTGCCTTTATGAAGTCAGCACAAAGGTGAGCCTTATGTTGAGACCAACTGTCTGATGAAGACTCTTTCTGCATTTTTCCACTGTTTAGATCATTTTATCTTCAAGTAACCTTTCTTCATGAAATAGCAAACTAAGAGTTCTTTTACTTATCAAATATTATAGTAGGTTTTACAATGAACTGATGAAAAGAATTAGAAGCAATCCCTATGCATATTTCTTAATAATCTTTTAATCTTGGTATGAGTTCAGATTCTTACTAATGAGTAAATTTCCAGTCTGAAATGATATTTAAATATTCTTTTAGGTTATTCCAAAATTTATATCTTTGCTACAGCACAACAGGAAATGGTATGTTATTGCCTTTTTACCCATATGCTTTTCTGGTATGTTAGAGTATTTGGTGACACTTTCTTGAATATCATAAAGTCTTAAAGGCCACAAAATTTAATGTCCCACCAAATTTAAGAATCATTTCTCCAGTGTAATAGTTTTTAAAATAATCTGTATCTTATTTTTGTAATTTACTTGAGATAATTTCAAATCTTAATAACCTATCATAGAACTTTGAATTATAGCATTAACATTTGAAATCTATTTTTATATAATTTTACTTTCTCAAAGAACTTATTTAATTCATAGAACTGTAGATATTTCTTTAAAATGAACTTATGGTATAAAATTGAATACACATTTCACAGGGGTCACTAATATGTTTGTCACTTTCCTACTAAGTACCCTCAGAAGGTTTGGAAATTATTTAAGAAATATGAACAAAATTTAGAAAAGCTATGAGAATTTGTATTTTCAGTAAAAGATTCTGGGATCCCCATGGGAAATGGCTTCTCTGGAGTTGTAGTACCCAGTCAATGCTTTAGGAAACTTTACCTTTTTACACTTCATGATTTCACTTCATTTAATCTCTTTAGTTGCATTCATGGGTCAGGGCTTCAAACAAGAAACTTCCTTTATGCTACTGATGTTGTAGAAGCATTTCTCACTGTCCTCAAAAAAGGGAAACCAGGTGAAATTTATAACATCGGAACCAATTTTGAAATGTCAGTTGTCCAGCTTGCCAAAGAACTAATACAACTGGTATGTATCTATTTTAAAAGGGTGGTATTTTCAAAATTGTTAGTGGCAGTAACCATTAATTTAGTCAAAATCAGAAGCTTACAGTTTACTTAATTTAAAAGTAAGCAAGTAGAAAATGAAATGGATTATGTGTACCATATGTGTCTTAATTTAAGTTTTATCACCTATTTAGTAACAGCTTTTCAGGAAAAAATAATTCGTTAAATGTACTGTCCCTAATTGTAAGACATAACTCATTTTCAGAAATATAAAATTGTGTCTTAAAATAAGTAACAGTGACATATAAAATAATTATATCAGTAGTTATGAATATCCATATATATTAGGGGACATCAATTATAAATTCATTTAATAGAAAGAAGGGACTGAATAATAACCAAAATCCAATGTGTATATCTGAGCTTCAGATGGAATTTAGTATATAGACAGTGTTACTAAAATGATGTTCATTTTAGCTGTCTTCCCCGCTATAATCAGCCATTAAATACCATTGTTATTCTCTGATCTCATTTTATAATTTACTCAAAAGCCTTCTCCATTTTAACAGATCAAAGAGACCAATTCAGAGTCCGAAATGGAAAATTGGGTTGATTATGTTAATGATAGGTGAGTAACAAGTTAAAACATTGGGGAAAGGTTGTGAAATCTTAGGTACCTTTAAAATTATAAAATATGTGGACTTGACCAATAACTAGTTTATCTCTTTTGAATTTTCTGGTAAAACATTTTTTTTCATAATCATAAGTACCATACAGATTAAGTATAGCATTATTACTTACTAGCTATGTGACTTAAAAAATTATTGACCCTTTCCAAGTCTGAGGTTTCAAACCTCCAGTGTGAACTAGGGATAATAACATCTCTCTCTCTTTTTTTTTTTTTTTTGAGACGGAGTCTCACTGTGTCGCCAGGCTGTACTGCAGTGGTGCAATCTTGGCTCACTGCAACCCACAGCCTGGCATATGAGTCCTAATAAGGTTTTGTGTATTTGTTTATTCATTCATTGAACATTTGTTGAGTTTTTTTATGTGTCAGGTATTTCACTTATAGCTAGATCGTGGCTGAAACAGGAAGATGAGACACAGAGAAGGTTAGGCACCTGGCATTATGGATGACTTTTTTTTTTTTTAAATATATACTTGATTTTACAAACTTCCTGCAGAAAACCTATTGGGAATTTTTTGTCAAGAGAAAAGTTGGGTTGTGGTGCATAAACATATATCTCCTAGTATCTACATTTGTAAATATATATCTACAATATCATTTTAAATCTGTTTTGTTTTCCAAGACCTACTAATGACATGAGATATCCAATGAAGTCAGAAAAAATACATGGCTTGGGATGGAGACCTAAAGTGCCTTGGAAAGAAGGAATAAAGAAAACAAGTAAGTTATCAATTAATCATTTTGGGGTCAAGTCAGGAAAATTTAAAGGAAAAATAACTTATTTCCAGAACATTATACAAACCAGTGGAATATTGTGTTGAATCATTTGTAGTTTTCAGATTGCCACATTTCATATATTTCTGGTAATAGTCCTGTGTTTCCTAAGCATCTTGAATTTTATAAACCAACTTCTGATCAATCTTCCCATATCTCGTTAGCATTAATCAAACACCTGTATTATTTATTCTGAGGTACATATTTTTTCACTTTCTTCACACTCCTAAAAGGTATGTCTTTTTATAATCACTAGTGTCTTATATTTATTATTGTAGCTTTTTTCTTTTTTACATGTATGTAAAATAATGATCCGTCAGTGGCATCTTAGAGTTGGTGAAATAGAGCTGCAGTCTTTTTTGTATCTTGAGGCTTTTTATATTGAAACCAATAAAGGTAATACATTTAGTATGTGCAGAAAAATCTATTAAAATAAGTGCTTATAAAGTCTGTGTATATATATTAAAGCTCTGTTTAGAAATGTATTCATAAGAAAATCTCTACCCAGATGTAAAAAAAAAAAAAAAGTTTTGATTCAGAGCTTGAAATACAAAATACTTAAGTCAAATATTAAAAAACAAAAAATAATTTAAAACTATCAGGTTTCTTTAAACTAAAAAAGCTTTTACTGATAGTATAGCAATATAAAATAATTTAACATATTACTAGAAGAAAGGTGCTGGGCATAGTGGCTCACATCTGTAATCCCAGCACTTTGGAGACCAAAGTGGGAGGATCACTTGAGGCCAGGAGTTCAAGACCAGCCTGGGAAATATAGCACGACCCTATCTCTACAAAAAGTAAAAAAAAATCAGCAGGACATGGTGGCACATGTCTATAGTCTTAGCAATTTAGGAAGGTGAGGTAGGTGGATCTCTTGAGCCCAGGAGTTTGGGCCTATAGTGAGCTATGATCACACCACTACACTCTAGCCTGGGTGACAACGAGACCCCATTCTCTTAAAAAAAAAAAAGCAAGGAAGTTCACATCAACTCATTGTGACTCTGATGCAGTGTTATCATATTTATATGACCAAACACTGTATTATACTTTTTTATATAAAATAATCTTAAAATCAGAGCAGATGACTTATTTCCAACACCCCAAATTCCTTAAAATCAGAATGTCTTAAATATTTATACCAACAAGTTCAGTATTGAATGACTTTTGAAGTTAAAAAGAAAAAAAATCATTGATTTTTAATTATAAATTTTTTAGGTGATTTAAATGTCTTCTGATTGACTTAATTGTTAAGTTCAAAATCAAATTGTTTATATCATTAGGCAGCCCTTGTCTGCTGCTTAGCTGATGGGCAAGACTTAGCTAGCAGGAACTCAGTAAATGTTGGTTAACTGATGTTTAGTTTTTTTCTTTTTTTGTCTTTTGTTTTTTCCTATTAGTTGAATGGTACAGAGAGAATTTTCACAACTGGAAGAATGCAGAAAAGGCATTAGAACCCTTTCCGGTATAATCACCATTTATATAGTCAAGACAGTTGTCAAAGAAAAAAATTATCCTACCTCTACAAGTGGTATGAAATTAAGTGACCAAATGAAGTGCTCTCTTTTCACTTGAAATTAGATTCATGACTTTTTGTATAATATTCAAATGCAGAATGCCTCAATCTTTGGGAGAGTTTCAGTACTGGCATAGAATTTAAATGTCAAAATTCTTTCTGAAACCCTTTCTCCTGGAAACTAGGAAATAATAGGGGTAGAAGACTCCCCACGGGTAGCCAGGAAGAAGTCTCCTGGTTCTGACAACCATGAGGGGTAATGGTGCTAGGCAGATGGCAACCTTCACTGGTTTTGAACTCAGTCAGCTTCCCAGCCTTTCCCAGTGTCTAAGAAAGTCTCTGAAATGTTCGTTTTTAGGCAATATAGGATGAGTCTTATGTCCTAATTCACCTTTTCTTTTTTTACGATCTGATATACTATCATTGCCTTAGTAATGGAACAAAATAAAAGCATATCTAGCACTTTTTAACTTTTGATAATTTTGTAAAATTGATTACGTTGAATGGTTTTTAAGAGAAGATGTAAAGTTTTTATATTTTCACAATTAACCTATGTAAAACCTTGTATCAGAAATTTATCATGTATTTACTGTTTAAAATGATTTTATTTATAAAATTGTCAATATCTTAATATATTTAATGTAGAATATTGCTTTTTAAAATAATGTTTTTATTTTGCTGTAGAAAAATTAAAAAAAAATTTGATTATGTATTTTTAATATTTCTTTGCCCTAAAGACTTTAAGATGACTTGAAAAAGTAACTGATTGGCTATTGGGTTGAGAAAGGGAAAATAATAAGCTGGGTGACCCTCTTTTAAGGGTGCAGATTTTGGTATGGAGGCGTCATAATTCCTCATTAGAAAGTCTTGCACTTTAAAAATACCCTTAAATACCAGCTTCCCACTGTGCTTAGGGATCCCCAAGTCCATCCCTCTTCTCTTCAATTTCTCCAATTTCACCTTTCAGGAGAGAAAGAGAGGGAAGACAAGTGTGTCAGTTGAGTTTTGCAGGAAGCAAATGCTAAGAGAAAGTAATGACTATAATGATAAAAGAGGAAGGAAGCAAAAATTGGGCAGGCTGTGCAGGCAGAAAGGCAAACCCATGTGGAGAAAATGTCTATTGTGAGAATCAGCTATTGGCCCTTTCACAGTGGAAAGGGCCCAATGGAGCTCATGTCCCACCAGGTAGCTGGTGGGTTTCCTTGAAGAATAGTGCCACACTGGGGGCTCAGTATTTGTCTCTTTTGCCAGCAAGTTGGATATTCACAGGTGGCAATAGCTGCATTGGCCGTGGTAAGTGAGAATTCATGCTGTGGGTCCCAAGAGTAGGGACCATCTGTACAGTGAGGCCTGTTCCATTCAGGTGCCCATCATGGTAGTTCTGGGGTGGCTGATGATGAAAGCTGGCTAAAGTTAACTGACCAAGTCATTTTATCTACTGGGTGGTTCAGTGCCTCTTGCTATGGTGGTTGCTTTCTAGTGAGTGTTAACATGGAATACACAGATCTTCACACTCGCCACCCTCTCCCGTAGATAGGCCTATCCATGTTTCTGCAGCCTTTACTTCCTTGTTTCCTGCTCCTCTAGACTTTTTCCTTCTAAGTCCCAAAGTAGCTAGCCAGGCTACTGCTCATGACTAAACGGATATTCTCACCACAGGTCACTACCATACATAGTGCATGAGCAGGTATACTACTCAAAGCTTTTTTCTTGGAAAGGTTTTCTTTTTCCACATTCTTTTGAAGGCCACCCCTGCATGGCTTTCAGGCAGCCACCCTCCAGTTTTGGCTCGCACGCACATAACAGGCCAATCCATCTGTAAACCAAGATCAGCTTTTCTTCTCCTTTCAGTTGGTTGTATGGGACCCTCTGTATGGCCACAGGTATAAAGAACTAAGGTGGGGCCGGGCGCGGTGGCTCAAGCCTGTAATCCCAGCACTTTGGGAGGCCGAGACGGGCGGATCACGAGGTCAGGAGATCGAGACCATCCTGGCTAACACGGTGAAACCCCGTCTCTACTAAAAAAATACAAAAAGCTAGCCGGGTGAGGTGGCTGGTGCCTGTAGTCCCAGCTACTCGGGAGGCTGAGGCAGGAGAATGGCGTAAACGCGGGAGGCGGAGCTTGCAGTGAGCTGAGATCTGACCACTGCACTCCAGCTCGGGCGACAGAGCAAGACTCCGTCTCAAAAAAAAAAAAAAAAAAAGAACTAAGGTGGTGACATGGGAGTCTGGCCTACCTGCTCTTACAACTTACTTGTGCTCTCCCATTCTGCTCATGCTTGATCCCAGATGTGCCGTTTCCATCTTCCAGTGGACTGCTGCTGGCTCCACCTGACTCTGAGTGGGTGGGCACATTACTCTGCTGGAACTGCCGTAACAGAATATCAGAGACTGGGTAGCTTCTACAACAGAAATTAATTTTCTCACAGATCTGGAAACTAGAAGTCCAAGGTCAGGATCAAGCTGTTGGCAGGGTTGGTTTCTTCTGAGGCCTCTCTTGGCTTACAGATGGCCATCATCTGTCCTCACATGATCTTTACTCTGTGACTAAATTTTTTCTTCTTATAAGGACACCAGTCATAATGGATTAGGGTGTGTTTTAAAGATCTCATTTTAACATACCTCTTTAAATACTTTGTTTCCTTGTATAGTCACTTTCTGAGGTACCAGGGGTTAGTACTTCAACATAAAAATTTGGGGGAGACACATTTCAGCCCTTAACAGTGGGTCCAAGTGCACTTAGCACATATGGGCAGTCCTAGATGCATGGTCATTTGGGGTCCTGTGGTCAAGCATTCTGGGTCTACCATGGCACAGTAATTTATTTTACAAAGGAATGATTCTCCACTGAGCCTGAAATGGTCTTTCCCAGGTGTAACCATGGGACCTGCACAGTTATTCTCCACTGGAGCTCACCATAAAACCCACACTACATCTGTCTCTACCACTGACACCACCAGCACCATAGGGTTTACCACAGCATATAGCCCAAGTGGCAGGAATGCTTGTACCCCAGCTTGGACCTGCTGCAGACCTCTTTCCCGCCCCAGACCCCTCAAAGCTGGCAGCCTTTTCTGTCGTTCAGTACATAAGCTGGAGCAGTACCCCTAAGTGTGGAATGTCTTCCCTCCAGAACCCAAAGCCAGGCTCTGTGTTTCCTTCTTTGAGAAAGGGGATATAAGATAAAGCAGTTTGACTTCAACTTGGAGGGAATGTCCTGGCACACCTTGATTGTTTGACTCCTAAAAACGTTACTGAAATCACAAGTCCTTGAATCTTCATCAGGTTTTATCTCCCATCTTCTGGCCATCAGGGTGCCAGCCACCTTTGCTCATTCTGCCTGATCAGCATGACGCCATCAATGTGATAGATCAGTGTGACATTCTACAGGATGTTCAGGAGACCTGAGTCTCTTAGGAGAGCAGAACTTACTTACATAGCCCTAAGGTGATACTGCAAATGCTCCCGGTTTCTGATCGTTCATGATTGAGATGGAAAAGAACACATTCAGCAAATCAGTGGCTGGATACTATGTTCCAGAGGCCTTCTAATCCACTTCAGCCAAGAAGATGTCACTTGAGCACAGCAGCTGGTATGTAAGTTTGCCTTCGGAACCTGGTATATAAGTTTGGATATTTGTCCCCGCCCAAATCTCATGTTGAATTGTAATCCCTAGTGCTGCAAATGGGGCCTGGTGGGAGGTGTTTGGGTCATGGAGGAGAACCCCTCATGCTTGACATTGTCTTCGACATAGTAAGTCCTTGTGAGATCTGGTTGTTTTAAAGTGTGTGACACCTACTCCCACCCCCCACCCCCCACCCCCCGCCACTGCCTCTGTCTCTTGCTCCTGCTTTTACTGTGTAATGTGCCTGCTCCCAATTTGCCTTCTGCCATGGGTAAAAGCTCCCTGAGGCCTCCCCAGAAGCCAAGGGATGTCAGCACCATGATTGTACAGCCTGCAGAACTGTGAGCCAATTAAACCTCTTTTCTTGTAAATTACCCAGTCACAGGTATCTCTTTACAGCAGAGCCGCTCCTTAATTGAGCTGGCCTTGATTGCAGTAATTCACCAGGATCTACTCAGTTCCAGCAGTGGCCAGATTGGTGAATTAAATGGAGCTTTGGTGGGGGCCTCTCTGTATCCTTGAGATCTTCAAGGGTGGCATCATCTTCACCTCCTCCAAGGTGTGATTTTGTGTTTTAAATTGAGACGGGGGGGGTTGGTGGGGAGTCTCACTGTGTTGCCCAGGCTGGTCTCGAACTCCGGGACCCAAGTGGTCCTCCTGCCTCAGCCTTGATTCTAAAGTGTTGAGTCATGGGGGTGAATCCCTCATGGCTTCTTGACACTGTCTTCGTGATAGTTCTCATGTGATCACTGCTCCCAGCTGTGATTTTGGTTTTGATTGACTATCTCAGCCAGGGCAGTGGCCCAGCTGAGGCAGGTTTGTTACGTTTGCTTCAGCCAAGATTAGGGCGCTGGTTGGGAAAATCTAGGACTCTGACGCAAGGATGAGATTGTCCGAGTGGATTCCTTTAAAGACCTCTGCAGCTTTTAAACTATTAAATCCTGAGTTTGGTCTTGGGCTTCTTCTGTTCTCCTACCTCATGATAAGGCCCTCACACTTAGTTGTCACTTATTTCTTGTTCTCAACTTTTCATTACCTGTCTGGAGGGCATCAATACAACTTATTAAAGACCAGCAGTTCCACTGCCCTTGTAAGACTTGTTCTCCTTAGCTTTTCAAGTGCCTGAATTATTGCAGTAAGCAGGGCAGGGTGGTCCCCTTCCCAGGAACATTCCCCCGAGTCACCACTATGAAAGTTTTAGCAACTACATCACTACCTTATGCTAGGGATTATTTATGTCCCTGCCTCACCCAGGATGGTATTCTTATGACCAGCCAGGCAGAAAGTGATCCAGTCTAAACCCATCTTATCAACTGTTTTGTTAGACCGCTCTTAGAAGTGACTGTGTCGTTTGGGTCCTCTGGGAAGTAGGGCTGAGGCCAAATTAGAGGTGCTAGCAGTTTATTAATAGGATGGGGAGTTAATGCTTGTGAAAGATACAAAAGAAGAAGAAATCTTCAGGCTGCAGCGTAGATCAGACAGCTGTGTTTTAAAGGATATCAGACAGCTGTGAAAAGGAAGGGGTGAGGAAGAGGGTTGGCAGAGTGAGCCTTAGAATCTCATCCAGCTCAAGAGGGATCTGCAGAGCAAAATCTCCTGAAAAAAAGTCCCACCTGGGCAGAAATGGCTAGGTTCCCTGTTGTGCTCAGCCATTGGCCAGGGGCTACTTAGAAACGGCCAGGTGGATCCTGAAGGCATTGCAAGTGGAAGCTGCTGGCTAACTGCACTCTTGCCAGCTGAAACGCAAGCTTTTTCTTAAAGGGAAATCCAGATGGTAGACCTTGATAATTGCCATTTGTAGGGGAGGACGGGGTCTTGGAGTTTAACTGCTCTCTATACAGACTTTCAGCCAAACCACTTGGTTTCATTTGTTTGTTTGTGAGACAGAGAGTCTCACTTACCACCCAGGCTGGAGTGCAGTGGTGCAGTCTTGGCTCACTGCAACCTCTGCCTCCCGGGTTCTCTTGCCTCAGCCTCCCAAGTAGCTGGGACTACAGGCATGTGCCACCACGCCCAGCTAATTTTTTGTATTTTTAGTAGAGATGGAGGTTTCACTGTGTTAGCCAGGATGCTCTCGATCTCTTGACCTCGTGATCCGCCCACCTCCCAAAGTGCTGAGATTACAGGCATGAGCCATTGCGCCTGGCCACACCACTTGCTTTTTATCCAATGCCTTACCCTCCCCTACCTCCCTTACCTCCGCCTTCCATTGCCCCGGTTGCTGCCGGGTTCTGTGAGGTCAGCTCACCCAATCTGGAGGTTCCTAGAAGGCTCACTGGAGATGACATTTGACCTGTGACTTATTGAATGGGAGTTAGTGAGGAAACTGAGGATGATTCCAGGCAGAGGGATCATCAGAGTGAAAGCACAAAGTTTTAAACAGTGCTGTGTGTTCAGGGAACAACAGGCCGTCAGTTTTACTCTAGCATAGTCATTCTCAAAATGTGTCTCCATTTCATTAAGGAAATCAAAACTATAATGAGATATCACCTGATACCTATCGGGATGTCTGTTATTTTTTAAAAACACAGTGTCAGTGAAGATGTAGAGGAATTGGGACCCTGGTGCATTGCTGATGGGAAAGTGAAATGATGCAGCCTCTGGAAAACAATATGGTGGTTCCTCAAAAAGTTAAACATAGAATTGTAATATGATCCAGCAATTCCATTTCTAGGGATATATCCAAAAGAATTGAAGGCAGAGACTAAGATGCCTGCACACCAATGCTCATGGCAGTAGTATTCACAATAGCCAGAAGGTGGAAACAACACAAAAATCCATCAGCAGATAAATGGATAAAACAAAATGGCTTATATAATGGAATATTATTCAGCCTGAAAAAGGAGTGGAATTCTCACACATGCTGCAACGTGGATAACCCTTGAAGGCACAAAAGGACAAAAGTGATATGGTTCCACTTAAATGAGGTTCCTGGAGTAGGCAAATTGATACAGTATCAGAGGTTTACCAGTGGCTTGAGGGAGGAGGGAAGGAGCAGGTATTTTTTAATGTGTACAGAGTTTCTGTTTGGATGATGAAAAAAGTCCTGAAACCAGATAATGGTGATAGCTGTACAACACTGAGTCTACCTAATGCCCCTGAACTCGACACTTAAAAGTGGTTGAACATGACTTTTACGTTATGTATATTTTGCCATAATAATAATTTTTTAAAATGTGGCCCTGGACAGCCAGGATTCACATCACCTGGGAACTTGTTAGAAATACAAATTGCCAGACTTACAGAATCAGAAACCCTGAGAGTGGGGCCCAGTAATTCAGAAGCCCCCTAGTGTTTGAAAGCCACTATTCCATAACGTGAGATGGGGAGGTGAGGCTGGAGAGGAATGTGGTAGCCAGTTCACGGAGGGCCTTGTCTACTGTGGTAAGATGCTTGGACTTTATCCTACGAGTCAAGAGCTAATTCTGGATTTTAAGGAAGAAATTGACATGGTTAGATTTGTAGGATTTATCTTTTTCCTAGTTTCAAAAATAATGTGCTTATTACAGAAAACTTGGAAAACTAATCAGTAAAAGAAAATCACCCATAATCTAACACTGGAAGATAATTCCTGTTAATATTTTGATGTATGTCATTTAATTTTTTGTGCATATATACATACATTTTAAAAACCAAGTAGAGGATCATAATGGACATACTGTTGTGGAGCCTGTTTTTTTTTTTCATGCAGCAGTATATCATGAACGTTTTTACATATTATGAGATCTTTTGCCATTTTTATTGACTGCAGAATTACGTTTTGGATAGCTTTTTCTGGCAATAGCATGGAAGATGAATTTAAGGAAGACAGGAATGAGTTCCTGCAGGGATTGAAGTTATGAAGCTGTTGCTGTAAATCAGGCTGGCGATGATAAGGCCTAAAGCACAGCACCATAAACAGGCAAGTCTGGGACAGACATGAGAACGTTTTAGATTTTAAAACTTACTGATTGATGATACATTGGAGGTGCTGTTTTTTGACGTGAGTGGTATTTTAAGGTTTTCAGTGTTGAACTGGAAAGAGTGGACAATGGTGGATTACAGTTAGGAGACATCGAGCTTGGGGAGATGTTGAGCTTTAAGGGCCTGTGGAACATGTTAAGTGGAGAACCTGGTGCACAGTCAAGTATGAGAATCTGAAGCTCAGATTGGTGGTTGGGGCTCAAGATCTAGAGACACATGTTTGGGAGTTAAGTGACTATTAACATCTGAAAGCGGATTAAATCCCCTCAAGGAAAATGTACAGAATGACAGGGTTGATGGTGGGTGGAATGATTTACACACAAGCCATAAGAAACACTAATATGTAAGTTGCAGGCAAGCAGCCCAAGGAAATTAGGAAGGAATGGTTAAAAAACAAAATTATAGGCCGGGTGCGGTGGCTCACGCCTGTAATTCTGGCACTTTGGAAGGCCGAGGTGGGCGGATCACCTGAGGTAGGGAGTTCGAGACCAGCATGACCAACATGGAGAAACCCTGTCTCTACTAAAAAAAAAGTATACAAAAATTAGCTGGGTGTAGCGGTGCATACCTGTAATCCCAGCTACTTGGGAGACTGAGGCAGGAGAATTGCTTGAACCCAGGAGGCGGAGGTTGCAGTGAGCTGAGATCGCGTCATTGGACTCCAGCCTGGGCAACAAGAGTGAAACTCTGACTCAAAAAAAAGAAAAAAATTACTCTCACTGCTTCACTTGACTAGCCTTAAAAATCAATCCATCAATCAATCAAATTTGAAATAAAAAAGAAGGAATGGGTGGGGCATGATGGCTCACGCCTGTAATCCCAGCACTTTGGGAGGCCAAGGTGGGCGGATCGTGAGGTCAGCAGTTTGAGACCAGCCTGGCCAACATGGCGAAACCCTGTCTCTGCTAAAAATACAAAAAGTAGCTGGGTGTAGTGGTGGGTACCTGTAATCCCAGCTACTCAGGAGGCTGAGGCAGGAGAATTGTGTGAACCCGGGAGGCAGAGGTTGCAGTGAGCCAAGATTGCGCCATTGCACTCCAGCCTGGGCGACAAGGCAAGACTCTGTCTTAAAAAGAAAAAGAAAAAAAAAAAAAAAAGGAATAGTCAGAGAGTGGAAGAAAGGAAGAAATAATGCCACCAAAGCAAAAGGGAGAGACATTCGATAACCAACAGATGGCCAGCTGAAGTTCAGTGAGGCAAAGACCAAGAAGCGTCTGCTGCTTTTTGGCAATATGCAGGCAAATTTTCTAGTGTGGAGAGAGGCAGATAGCCTCTGGATTATGAAGATTGAGTAGTAATTAGGAATCAAGGGATGGAAAAATGGAATTTAGCCTTTCAAGGAGCTGAGAAGAGTCAAGATAGGGCCAGCCCTAAGGAAGGCACAGGCTTAAGGAAAGGTCTCCAGAAGCTGCTTTATTTTGTTTTTTAGCACAGAATGGACTTCTGTATGATTATAAGCTGAAGAGATGAGCAATAGATGAAGAAAAAGAAATGATATTCAGGAGTGCATAATTAATGGAGTACAGTGTCCATGGAGATGGACTCCCTAGGGAAAGACTCGCTTTGGGATAGGGTTGATATCTTTCTGGATCAGTAATGGCAGGAGTTGAGATGAGATTGGATACAGTGACTTTTGGGGAGGGAGGTGAGGGAATTCACCATGGCCTCAATTTTCTTCCTGAAATTAGGGGAGGCAACAGGAGAGAAGTGAGTTTTGTAGTATATCAGAGGAAAATGAGAGCAGTAGCTCTACCACGGCCCAGTGAAGGTGCAGCCACGTTTGAAGGCCATTAATTTATACTCTTACAACTGCTGAAAAAATGCTGCATTGACCATCTCAATATACACCTGTGTGTACACAAGAGAGTGTATTTCTGAAGGATTAATGCCTAGATTTGGTATATGTGGGTCCAAAAAGCACATGCACTTAAAATTTGAAAGATAGACATGAAATTCCTGCCCTCTAGCAAGCCATGGGTATTAATAGATCTTTAATTTTTGCCAGTACGAAAGTTGCAAAAATTGTTTTATTGCACTTCTAGAATCTTTAGCTAGCTTGAGCCTCCCTTTGACCTCACCTGCAGATGTTGAAGTTCTGCCCTCTATATTATCATCACACTGTACTCATACAATTTGTTTATAGGTGTGTGTATTGTTTATAGGTGTGTGTGTTCCACTAAACGTGGAGCTCCTGGGGGTGTAATCACCTCCCTGGACACTCAGCATCTCTATTCATTTGCAGGTTTTTTAAAGAGCAGAGTCTTTGCCACTGTCTGTCTGTCTCTCAATTTCTCTCTGCCTCTCTTTCCTTCTTCCTCCTCACATGCACATTTCCCCCTCCCTCCTCATCCCAGGCAGAATCTCTTGCATTTTCACCATTTGTAGTCAAACACCATTTGACTACATAAAGCTTACTTTCTTGCTCAAATCTCACACTTTAAGAAAGAGGTGAGGGCCGGGTGCGGTGGCTCAAGCCTGTAATCCCAGCACTTTGGGAGGCCGAGACAGGCGGATCATGAGGTCAGGAGATCGAGACCATCCTGGCTAACACGGTGAAACCCCATCTCTACTAAAAAATACAAAAAAAAAAAACTAGCTGGGCGAGGTGGCAGGCGCCTGTAGTCCCAGCTACTCGGGAGGCTGAGGCAGGAGAATGGTGTAAACCCGGGAGGCGGAGCTTGCGGTGAGCTGAGATCCGGCCACTGCACTCCAGCCTGGGTGACGGAGCAAGACTCCGTCTCAAAAAAAAAAAAAAAAGGTGAACCAGTTTTGCAAGTCTTATATCTGATTTCATTTATATTTTGTTATTGTTTAGGAAGGTTGGTCTTTAATTCTCACTTTGGTGCTTCTTTATAGAAACTTCTATCCTTGAATAATTGTTCTAGGATCCTTCCTTCACTTTAATAGTATTTTTAATACTGTTGTGTTTTATAGCTAAACTTACTATGTTTTAATTGGCATACTCTTAAAAATAGTG